GATGGGAAAGTGAATTCTGAATTATTAAAAAAAAAAAAAGTCATCGCAAGAAGCCGCTATTCTGGGCACCGTGACAGGCAACCGTGGGCGTTCAGCTTTGGGAAAAAGCAGAAAAATCCGCGTCTGTGTGTGTAGGTTTGAGGCATAGAAAATGCCCCATGGGGGGGTAACCCTCACGTCTGAGGTGGAAAGTGTGTGTGAGCTCTCGCACGTGTATGTGTATGTGTGCGTGCATACGCACGTGTGTGTACATGTGTGTTTTATGGTTTCCTGGTGCTGTTACTTTTCACTTGGCGCTAGCCCCAGGGATGTGTTTTAAAGTCGTTTTCAGGACACCTTTTTTTTTTTTAATCTCCTGGTATTAAACATCTCCCTTGAATGGTAGCTGTTATGCATTCTCTTTTTGAACAATTTATGTTGGGGCTGGAGCCATAGCACAGCGGGGAGGGCGTTTGCCTTGCACGCAGCCAACCCGGGTTCGATTCCCAGCAACCCATATGGTCCCCTGAGCACCGCCAGGAGTTACTCCTGAGTGCAGAGCCAGGAGGAACCCCTGTGCATTGCCGGGTGTGACCCAAAAGGCAGAAAAAAAAATTGTTTCAGTTTGTGGGCCCATATTACAAGGGGGGAGAGACTTGTTAGCCCGGTTTTTAAAAAACTGAAGCATTAGTGTAACGGGCTTCCTGCAGGCGGCCGGCGGTTCTGTTGGTCCAGCCCCGCCTCCACAGTGAGCCCACCCGGAACTGGTCAGCGCTGGTCCGGGAGGGGGACAGGCCCCGACAGTGGCCCCCGGCCGCCTGAGAGCAGAGCCCACGGGAAGCTGCCACCGCTCTCCTAAGTGTCCGTGGACACCCACTTTGCAGTGAAACAAGCTCGGGCCAGGCCGGGCGCGGGGGTAAGGTACTTGCCTCGCACGTGGCCAGCCCAATGCAGCCCCCAGCATGGCGGAGAGTCTCCCGAGCACTGCAGGAGGGAGCCCCGAGCACAGAGCTCAGAGTGAGTCCTGACACCTGCCAGGGTGAAAAAAAAAATCCCGAAATAGATTCAATTGATGAAACCAAAAATCCATCCTTTCAGCTGTCAGAGGCTGTTTCCTCCTTTCCTGGGAAATTCTGCCCCCTGGCCCCACTAGGTGCTGAGCGTTAAACCTGACCCAGGAGTCCCTCCCTCCCTCCTTCCTCTTCTCTCCTCCCTTCCCTTCCTCCTCCCTCCTCCTTTCTCCTTGTTCCGTCCCTCCTCCCTCCCTCCCTCCCTCCCTCCCTCCTTCCCTCCCTTCCTCCCTCCTTCCCTCCCTCCCTCCCTCTGTGCTCTTCCACCTCCCTCCCACCTCCCTCCCTCCTCCAAGGTGCTTTTGGTCCAGTCCTGGGCCCTCCTGGAGCTGTGAGCCCCCCGCCCCACCCCCTAACCCCCCCTCCCTCTGATTTGCATTCCAGAGGCTTCTGTTTTGGGTTAGGACCACCCAGCGAGGCCGGTTTTTTCACCTCTTATCACCGCCTCCTTGAGAGCCGCCTGGGGATGGGCCGGTGAGGGCACGTGGACTATTCTGGTCTGTTCTGCCCTTGTTGTCTTGGTTTGTTTCCGCCCAGGCCTTGGGGCGTCATCTCGGAACCGTGTCGGAAGGCCTGTGGGGACCGTCTCTGGGACCCGGGGCTGAGGCTGCGCTCTTTAGGGTGGCTTCGAGGGTCATGGGCGGAAGTGGTGGCTGATTCGGCAGTATGGGGGTCGCGAGGGCAGTGGTGGGTGAGTGGGCAGCCAGGCCAGTGCTCCTAGGCAGTGCTCAGGGCCTGCCCGGCCCGAGGGAGCCCCCCTCCCCCATGATCAGATGACAAGAGACTTTCACGCAGATGATCTAAAGATACCTGCCCTGCCAGAAGGCAGGCCGGAGAGCGAGCACGGAGGGAGGGAGCTGGCCTGGCACGAGGCCCACCTGGGTGTCACCCCCTGGTGCGGCCTAGGGTCCCCTGAGCCCCACCAGGAGTGATCCCTGAGCACAGAGCTGGGAGTAAGACCCGAGCACAGCTGGGTGTGGCCCAACCCCCTCCCTCCAACCTGCCCCCACTTGAGAAGCGAGGTAGGGTGGGATGGAGGGGATGGGGGGTGGGAGGGATGCTGGGACCCACGGTGGTGGAGGATGGGCACTGGTGGAGGGATGGGTACGTGATCATTGTATAACTGAAACCCAAGCACAAAAATTTGTAAGTCTACAACGGTACCTCATGGTGTCTCACTAAAAAAATTTAAAGAAAAAAAAAAGCGATATCGATGGCCAACCAGCTCGCAGGGAAGGATGTTCATCGTCCTTTGTCCTGGGGGAAGGCAAGTCGCGACGAGGGATCTGTAGAGAGCCAACCCGTAGACCTCCCAGTAGCCAGAACCCAAAATAATCTTGAGAAAGAGACCAGCCGGAGGCGTCTCATCCGCCAGCGTCACAGAACAGGGAGCCCGGCAAGGAAGCCCTCCGTGTAGACTCAGTGACTTTATAGTGATGGGGACAAGAACGCACACGATGCGGAGAGACGGGCCCCCAGATATCGGGGAGATGGAGCGGTCAGCCACACGCCGAAGGGAGAAAACCCGGTCCCAGTCTTGAACCACACACACAAACCAACTCAAAATGAATCGGAGACCTGAACTTAAGACCAGAAACTCTCTAACTCCTCAAAGAAAACAGGCAAGAAACGCTTTGCCACTGGCCTTGGCAAGGAGTTTGTGTTTTATAATTGCACCCTAAAGGCGAAGGCAACACAAGCAAAAATAAACAAGTGGGACTACATCAAACAGAAAAGTTTGACTGCGTAGCAAAGGGAACTCTCCCCGGACTGAAAGGCCTCTCATGGGAGGGAGTCTCTGGGAACCGAGGAAGGGGTTGAGCACCCAAATATACACCCCCAGAACCCAAAGGAGAAAACTGTCTGATTAAACGTGGGCAGCCCCCCGGTGTGCGGGGGACAGAGGGTGGGTAAGATCGAGACACGAGACCAGTGTGACAATCGTAGCTGGGAATGACCACGCTGAGCGTTGAAAGTTGGTAAGTTAGGGCAGTCTTGATGACCTTTCAGTATCAAGATTGCAAACCACAGTGCCCCAAAGGAGAGAGAAAGACAAAGAGAGAGACAGAGACAGAGACACAGAGAGACAGACAGAGAGGGAGGGAGGGAGGGAGAGAGAGAAAGTGACAGACAGACAGAGACAGATACAGACACAAAGACAGAGAGACAGAAAGAGAGGAAGGAAGGGAGGGAGACAGAGAGAGAGAGAGAGACAGAGGTAGAGACAGAGACAGAGAGACAGAGATAGAGACAGACAGAGAGAAAGGGAGAAAGAGAGAGAGTGAGAGACAGAAAGAGAAGGAGAGAGAGAGAGAGAAGCACCTGTCATAGAGGCAGGCAGGGGGTGGGGGTGTGGGTGGGGGTGATGGGAGGGAACCCGGGGACCCTGGTGCTGGGAAATGTGCCCTGGCGGAGGGACGGGTGTTGGAGCACTGTATGACTGAAACCCAACCATGAACAGCTTTGTGAGGGTCTATCTCAATTAAAAAAGTAAAGCCAAAATAAAAACACTTGGGCAGGGATATCTCGGAGCTGACCTTCTCCCAGAGGCCAGATTGTCTAGTGCGTGGGGGGAGGAGGCATACGAGAAAGTTCTTAACTTCACTAATCATCAGGGGATGGGAATCGAACCCACAGCCGGATGAGCAGCACCAGCTCTCCCGCCCTCCGACAGACGCTCCCTACGGAGACCGGGAGGGTCCGCTGCCCGCTTCTCGGGTCTCTGAAACTGGGTGTGAGTGGCGCGTGGCCGCTCGGTCCTGCGTGGGGGGGCGGAGGCTCACTCAGAGCCCGGGGGGGGGTCCTGAGAGGGTCCCTGTGCCCACCGTCAGGGCAGGATCCCTGGCGGGGCGGCTGTGAGGGCCAGCACTGTCCCCACCACTGTCGGGCGGGGCGAGGCGTGTGCGTTTGCCCGTGCCAGCCCGCCTGCCTCTGCCTGCCCTGAGCTCAGGGCCAGAGGGGTCCCCTGCTGCTTCCAGGCTCCCGCGGTTGCTTCTGTTTATGAATGACAGAGCGGAGAGCAGGCAGCCCCCTTATGGCAGGGGTGGGGGGCTGGGGAAGGGGAGCACAGCTGGCAGTGCTCAGGGCTTGCTGCCCGCTCTGAGATCGGGGATCGCGCCTGGCAGTGCTCGGGGAGCCAGCTGTGGTGCAGAGACTTGGCACGAGGGTCAGGCGCGTGCCCAGGCAAGCGCCCAGTCTGGGGCACCGTCAGCCGGGCCCTCCCGTCCCTCTGTTGAAAGGCCGCCTGGAGCACTCTGAAAGGCGGAATGATTCCTGGGAGGCCCCTGCGGCCCACGGCACCTCGCTGGCGTCAGGGCTGACAGCGAAGACCCCGGGCTCGTGCCCATGTCATTCTTCAAAATCGAGAGCAGAAAACATCCCTTTAGAATCCAGCTGGGCTGGGCTTGGGGGGTCGCGCAGAGCTATGGCGGGGACTTGCACGAGGCTGATTCTGTTCCAACCCCCCGCACCACGTGTGGTCTCCACGCACCCTCCAGGAGTGAGCCCCAAGCACAGAGCCGGGAGTGAGCCCTGAGCACAGAGCTGGGAGTCAGCCCCGAGCACAGAGCCGGGAGTGAGCCCTGAGCACAGAGGCAGGAGTCAGCCCCGAGCACAGAGCTGGGAGTGAGCCCCAAGCACAGAGCTGAGGGTTAGTCCTGAGCACAGAGCCAGGAGTGAGCCCCAAGCACAGAGCTGGGAGTCAGCCCCAAGCACAGAGCCGGGAATGAGCCCTGAGCACAGGGTTGGGAGTCAGCCCCGAGCACAGCGCCAGGAGTGAGCTCCGAGCACAGAGCCGGGAGTCAGCCCTGAGCACAGAGCAGGCGTCTGCCCTGGGCACTGCCGGCCTCCCCACCCCTGGTCACCTGGTGCCAGGCTCTTCCTTCTGCCCAGGTGGGCACAGTGGGCCCGCGGCCTCTGACCCGCTCACGCCACCCCCTCCCACCCCCACAGATCTCCTTCGACCTGGCGGAGTACACGGCCGACGTGGACGGCGTGGGCACCCTGCGGCTCCTGGACGCCATCAAGACCTGCGGGCTGATCCACTCGGTGCGGTTCTACCAGGCGTCCACGAGCGAGCTGTTTGGGAAGGTGCAGGAGATCCCGCAGCGGGAGACCACGCCCTTCTACCCGCGGTCCCCCTACGGTGAGTCGGGACGGACAGGGCCAGGGACCCGGCGCCCGCCCGGGACCTGGGGAATGAGCCTGGCCGGCAGGCTGGGACGGGGGCTGGGGGCGAGTGGGGGCAGAGCCCCTGGCATAGCTGCTCATCCAGCCTGAGACAGGCTCGACCCCTGAGAAGGGCTGGTTCCGTACCCGCACCTCCCAAGACCTTGACTGTGGTTTCAGAGCGCCCCCCTCTCCCCCTCTCCCTCTCTCTCTGTTAGGCGTTGGCATTGCAGTGTTTCCGGGTTACGGCACTGTCAGGCAGACTCACTGCACACCCCTTGTCAGAATGACAGAACGCCCCCAACCTGGCCTCTCCCCCCTCGGTCACCCCCGGTCCTGTCTTCCTTACCGACCACCCCCTCCCTTCCTGTTGGACAGTCACAGGTTTGGGGGTCACTCTTACCTCCCCTCCATGGACCCCCAAACCTCCGCCTCTGCTCCCCTGTGACAGTTAACCCACCTCCCCGCCCCCACCCCCCATCATAACCCAGTGGCCTCAGGCCTGGGACCCGCTGCCCAAGGTCTGTTGTGAGTGGACGCTGGTCCCTTGTCTCTCTTTTTTCTTTTTTTCTCTTTCTTTTCTGGGTCACACCCAGTGACGCTCAGGGGTTACTCCTGGCTCTGTACTCAGGAATTCCTCCTGGTGTGCTCGGGGGTCCATCTGGGATGCCGGGGATCGAACCCGGGTCGGCCGCGTGCAAGGCAAACGCCCTCCCCGCTGTGCTATCACTCCAGCTCCTGGTCCGTCGTCTCTCTCTCTCCACAACGCTCGCCTGGGCTTTTGCCTCTCCCCCTGGCACCCTCAGCCCACCCGCCACCCTCCCCATCCTTCTCCTTAAGTTGAAAGGCAGCAGGGGCGGGTGTGGGGACAGGAGGGGCTGGTTCGGGGTCAGCCAGTCTCCCCGCCCCCTCCCCCCATCCCCCATCGCCCTGTGCCCAGACCTTCGGGTTCTCCGACGCCGAACCACGGCACGGCCTTGCAGTGGGTTGGTTGCCCGTTTAACACCAGGGAAATCGCCACCTCGGACGGGAAGGCTGACGGGATTTTTCACGTCCGATTCCTGCAGGGGCCGCCAAGCTCTACGCCTACTGGATCGTGGTGAACTTCCGCGAGGCCTACAACCTGTTCGCGGTGAACGGCATCCTCTTCAACCACGAGAGCCCCCGGAGAGGTGAGTCACGGCCGAGGGACAGGAGTCCACGCTCTGCAGCGGGGATGCCCCCCCCCCCCCCGGGGGTCTCTGCCCCACAGCCTCCCCAGACCCCGGCTCTGCATGCCTTGCTCGTGGGCTTTCTTGTCGCTTGAACGCATTCATCCGGTTCCCTGGGGAGGGAAGGGCTTCTGAGCGCCAGCCTGACGCTGGGTTCTGGAAGCTTCTCTCGGTTCAGCCAGTGTGGGTTTTGCCTTGCGGCCCTTGGCCTCTCTGTGTTCCATCCCGTGATCCATTGGCAGGGAGGTTAGAATTGTCTGTGTGTCTGGAGCACATTGAAAAATAAATTTGAAACATCAGTCCTTATGAGATATATATATATATTATATTATATATATATTATTATGGTAAAGGTAAAGGCCCTCCTGTTGATCGTCGATTTGCTCGAGCGGGCCCAGTAACGTCTCCATTGGAGACTTTGTTGTTACTGTGTCTGGCATATCGAATACTCTCGGTAGCTTGCCGGGCTCTCCGAGAGGGGCGGAGGAATCGAACTCGGGTCGGCCATGTTGGCCGCTTGTAAGGCGAACGCCCTACCCGCTGTGCTATCGCTCCAGCCCATATATTATATATATATAGAGATAATGTCACCTTTTCGTAATTGTGATTGTCAGCTTGCAGCTTTGCTAGTTCTCTTGTGGCAAATAGTAGCATTAAAGTAAGGAAAGGTCATTACTCGTCATTACTCCTGATTGGTCAAGTACGAGGAGTCTTTGCAAAGCATGCCCTGTTTACAAACGAACGTGGGTCTCTACACTCTAAGGATGATTTTTTTTTAGAACCTTTTTTAGCATTTTCCTGATGTTCAGCCCTTGAGCGTAAGGATCAATGAAAAGTCCTTTGTTAAAAGTTGTTTCATACCCAACAAGTAGTCATGCATATAATTTTTCCAGTGACCTTTTGTGTGACTATATAGCCGCATAATTAAACCAGAAGCTTGAGGAATGATTTAAGTGACAGGTTTATAAAGGGATCCTCAGTGTTAATACAGTTTTAATTTATAGTTACGCAAGATGAAAATTCCCATGATAGGCTGTTGAAGTCTAAGAACTCTCCCTGTCAGGTTGCCTGAAAGGAAAACAAGTTAGCAAGCAGCCGGCGAGATTTCTGTCATTGATTTTGTGGTTCTGGGTTAGGCAAAACTTCCCTGTCCTTGTCTGCCGTCTCTGGTAGACGGACCACGCAAGTTCTGTCAAGATCTCGGCCACCTTGCCCTTCGGTCAGGGATATGTCTGTGCATGTTGGTGATGGGTAGATGGACGGAGGGTGGACAGATATATAGATGGGTGGGTGGAAGGTGGATGGATGGATGGATGGATGGATGGATGGGGGAAGGATCTCAGAGGTGGATGGTGGATGGATATTGTATGGCTATATAGATAATGGATGGTGGATGGATGGATGGATGGAAGGATGGATGGAAGGATGGATGGATGGATGGATGGATGGATGGATGGATGGAAGGATGGATGGATGTATGGATGGATGGATGGATGGAAGGATGGATGGATGGATGGAAGGAAGGATGGATGGATGGAAGGAAGGATGGATGGATGGATGGATGGATGGATGGATGGATGAAGGATCTCAGGTGGATGGTGGATGGATGTTGTATGACTATATAGATAATGGATGGTGAATGGATGGATGGATGGAAGGATGGATGGATGGATGGTAAACGGATGGATAGATGAATGGATGGATGGATGGAAGGATGGATGGAAGGATGGATGGATGGGGGAAGGATCTCAGAGGTGGATGGTGGATGGCTATTGTATGGCTATATAGATAATGGATGGTGGATGGATAGATGGATGGAAGGATGGATGGATGGATGGATGGATGAGTGGGTGGATGGTAAACGGATGGATGGATTAATGGATGGATGGGTAGATGGATGGATGGATGGAAGGATGGATGGATGGATGGATGGATGGATGATGAATGGATGATGGATATACAATGGATGGGTGGTGGATGGATGGGTTGTAGATGGATAGACAGATAGATGGGGACGGGTTGAAGGATGAATGATGGAGAGATGGGTGGATAAAGTCCTTGGTCTGGATCAGATTGGGAATTAAAATTAGTTGTAGAATTAGATAATAAATTCAAATAGTCCCAGAGTTAGGTGATAAACAAATACAATCCCCACCTTCACACACACACACACACACACACACACACACACACATACACACACTCACTCTACTGGCAGAACTCCTCTTCAGACATGCTTTTGTTTTTGTCATGGGTTGGGATTGACACGTAGAGAAGAGCGAATTCCCTCCCTTGCACAGACTTCAGGGTTTGGCCCCGTAAGCATCGCTGCGTAAATGCTCCAGTTCCGTTGTCCTAACCGTGCAGCCAGGGTTCATCCAATCAGGACCCTATTTAGGGGTATTAAAGTCTTTATTTCACAGCACACAGAGCTTGTTATGTTTTATTATGTTTCCGGAAATCAACCCTGAGCTCTTATATTTCACTGATAGAATCAACGAAAAATCACAGAGTAGATGTGGATGAAGCGAAACTTATTTGCTAAGATCTTTATGACGTTTTTCTTAAGACATGAAAATTAATATTCATACAGAGTTAATCTAGCCGGTATAGTATTGCTTAGTCACAGTGAACTATTATTTTTCCTTATTGTATTTTGAGCTATCATTTTTTTAAGAAGGTTCTTTACCAAAGTTTATAAATCTTTTGCTCACAAACCTGAAGAAACACTACTGACAGAAACACAATAGTAGTGGGAGACTTAAACACGCCACTTTCTTCGCTGGACAGATCAACTAAGCAGAACATCAGTCAAGAGACAAGAGCCCGAAATGAGGAGCGGAAAGAACATTCTCCAGGATAGACTGCATATAAGGGCACAACTCACTTAATCACTTAATCACCTAACTTCCCGTTAGTCGTCGATTTGCTCGAGCAGGCGCCAGTAACGTCTCCATTTGTCCCTGTCGTGTGCTAGTGTAGCCCAATGGCATCTGTTCACTCTGGGAACATGAAGGACCTCAAACCGATCGTTCATGATCTTGACGAAGAAGTCTGACCATCTGGTAGGTGGGCAGCCACGCGGTCTTTTGACATCCCGTGGAATCCAATCAGTAACAGCTCTAGTCCAACGGTCGTCTTTAAATCTCATTATGTGACCAGCCCATCTGATTTTTGACACCTTGGCAAATGAGACAGCGTCCCTGATTCCTGATCTTCGACGGAGGTCGGAACTCCGTATTTTTTCTCTCATTTGAGTGAAACGTGATATTCCAAGCATAGCTCTTTCTATTCTTCTTTGGGAGACCTGAATGGCGTTCTCATCTTGTTTGCGTAGGGCCCAGGTCTCCGAGGTATATGTTAATGCAGGAAGAACAGTGGAATCAAAGAGATGTGCCCGGAGCCGGAGGTTCTTCGTCCTCTTAGTTATTTCTTCGACATTCTTGAAGGCGTTCCAAGCCGCTCTCTTCCTCCTGCACAGCTCGGGTGCCAGGTCATTTGTCATGTTGACCTCTCGACCTAGGTAGACATAGCTGTTGCATTCGGAGATGGTCGTTCCATTGAGAGCGAATGGGGCGTCAGGAACGAGGCTGTTTCTCATAAACATTGTCTTCGTAAGATTCAGCTGTAGTCCTACCTTCCCACACTCACGGTCAAAGTCGGCCAGCATTTGTGCCGCTTGGCTGATGTTTGGTGTTATTAAAACAATGTCATCAGCAAAGCGGAGGTGGTGTAATTGCCGACCATCTATCTTCACTCCCATTCCTTCCCATTCCAGTCGTCGCATGATGTTCTCGAGGGTGGCACTGAAGAGTTTCAGTGAAATGGTATCACCCTGCCGCACCCCTCTCTTGACATCAACGATCACTTCTTTGTAGAATGGTGAGATCCTGGTAGTGAATCCGCAATACAGCTCACGGAGGATCCTGATGTATTGGGCTTGAAGGCCCTGATTGGCTAGGGCTTCAATGACCGCTTCCGTCTCAACAGAATCAAAGGCCTTCTTTAAATCAATGAACGTTAAACAGAGCGGCATCTTGAACTCCCGAGAAACCTCAATGAGCTTGGTTATCGTGTGGATATGGTCGATGGCGCTGAATCCTTTGCGGAACCCGGCTTGCTCGCATGGTTGTCCTTCATCTAGTGTTCTGCCAATCCTATTTAGGATGACTCGAGTGAACAACTTGTAGATGACAGACAATAGGCAGATCGGGCGATAGTTGCCAATGTCATGGATGTCTCCCTTCTTGAACAGTAGTACGGTCCTGCTGGTTTTCCATTGGGACGGAACCTTGCATTCAGACAGGTAGCGAGTGAAGAGCCGAGCCAGTGTATTGATGAGTACTGATGGCAGGTTCTTCAGGTGTTCAGGTCTGACCTTCTCTGGGCCGGGTGCTGTTTGTTTCTTTACCGACGAAATGGTGTGTCGGATTTCGGCAGGGAGAACGTTGGGAACGACATATCCATCCTGTGGAATTTGGTATGTCGGCAAGTGGACATGGCTATTGAAGAGATTTGAGTAGAAGTCATGGATAATCTTCTCCATTGCCGTTCTGGAGGATGTGATGGATCCATCAGGACGTCGAGGGCAGTCATCTTGGTCTTGTAGTTGGCGAAGGACAGGCGGGCCTTACGAATACTTTTCCCGGCTTCTGCCGCATCTACCAGTACTTCTGCTCTTCTCTCTTTGAGGTCTTCCTTGATCGCATCTCTGCACTGCTTTGCGAGCTCGGACATTAGCTTGCGGTTGCCTGAGGCATGCACCAAACCACGCTGGCGAATTAGCTCAAGAGTTTTCGAAGACAGGTGTTTTTTTGTGGCTATCTCTCTCTTGGTGTTCCTTGCACATTCATGGAGGTGCTGAACCAGTCGATCGTATTCCTCGTCAATGTTGTCAACAATGGCATCTTCCCATGTTGCCGCAATAGTACCAAAGAGTTCCCAGTTGGTGGTCATTCTGG